GTGTTGCAATGTGGTTAAAACCTAAGGCTACTAGCCCCAGTGCTAATGACAGGAATCTGGTGCATGGAGCAGCAATCACTACAGCTAATCACTGGCTGTGCGCACAGTGATGGCTGACTGCCACCAGCAGTCTGTTGTTGAAGTGTACAGTGCTCAGCAGCTACAGGTAGCAAAAACAGTTACAAGGTCCACAAATTCGTACCGCTGTCATTCGCAGCAGAGCCAGCAGCCATGCAAATATAGCCTAGCTATGGGCATAAACATTTATAAATGCTGCCCTCTCAGCTGAGAGAGATCAGTGTGACCACTCTCAACCTGGACCTAAGGTAAACAATACTTAGACATTATCTCATCCCCTGGCAAAAACAGGCTTTTTTTTCAGAATTTGAGCTTTAAAGTGGTGTGATTTAATCTGGGAACTTTATACCTCATCACGTTAAAAAAAAAAAAACCCACACCTACCTACCCACTCACAGCAATGCCTGGACAGCATGCACAGTATACAGTGGCCATGCCCATCCTGTGTGCCAAGATGGCTAGCTCCAACACACAGGAGAAGATACAGGCAAGGGAGCATTGGAAGCAAGCGTCCTGCCCTTTTGTTCCATGTTAATATTCAACTCAAACTCACCCCTCCATGCTTTATTTTGCTAAGAAATCACTTTATTATTGCTCCCCTTTTTTTAATGTTGTAGAGAGAAGTATGCTGTCAGTCAAAAGTTTGATCTAGCCTCCAGCCATGGCCATACACCACATCTGATCCATCCTTGACCAACATCACACTCCACTCTGCATAGTGGGCACAAAGCAACTCCAACAAGACATCATATACTGAGGCTGAGCCCCAGCCTGGAATAGGGTCTGTAAGGAGAATCATGCCTTACTTAACCTCCCTAGCGGTCTGATTATGTCCATATTTATGTGCTCAAAGCTGTACATTTTTTTGCATGGAAATATGTATTTTTTTTTTATTGTAGGCCTGTAATTTTTAGGAATAACTCACTGAAATCTGTCCGAACAAGAGTCTAGTAAACATCCCGGGTATGTTAAAATTTGAAACATGAAATCATAAATTATAATTTAATAATCAAAAAATATAATAAATTTAATTCAATAATATAAATCAAACCAAAAACACTGAAATTTGAAATATAGCGCCAAGTTTGCACATCACTGAGCAAAATCGCAAAATAGTTTACAGTGTTTGATGACGAATTTCACGCCTGGACTACTGCAACTCCCTTCTCACTGGCCTACCCCAACACAAGCTATCCCCGCTTCAATCTCTCCTGAACTCAGCGGCCAGACTCATCCACCTTACCAACTGCTCCACTTCTGCCACTCCCCCTCTGTCATTCCCTCCACTGGCTTCCGATTGCCCAACGCATTAAATTCAAACTACTAACATTGACATACAAAGCCATTCATAATGCTGCCCCAAACTACCTCACCGACCTGATACCCAAATACCACCCAACCCGTACTCTTTGCTCCTCACAAGACCTCCTACTTTCTAGCTCCCTGGTCTCCTCCTCCCCACGCCCGACTGCAGGACTTCTCCAGGACTTCCCCCATCCTCTGGAACTCTCTACCCCAATCCATCAGACTGTCACCTACCCTCCTCAACTTCAGGTGCACCCTGAAAACCCATCTCTTTAGGGAAGCCTACCCCACCCTCACCTAACAGCCAATCTCCTCCACTCCATCCCCCACAGCCCACTTCCTCCTGTACCACTATCCCCTCCCTCCTAGATTGTAAGCTCGAAAGAGCAGGGGCCCCGAACCCCTCGTGTATTGTTTTGTTACTGTATTGTAACATGTACTGTCCCCCACTATAATGTACAGCGCTAAGCAAACCTTTTGGCGCTATATATAAATACTATATAATAATAATTTCCCCACAAATCATTATCACTCAATTCTGCAAGTGGTTCTAATTTACTATCACTGTTCTCTAGCTGGTCTAAAACCACTTTTGAGCCAAAAGGGATGCTTTTTGGATGCCATGGACATTTCTCAGTTTCCAGGCAGAAAGAATTATAAAAATGCTGGCAGGGTACAGGACAAAATGTATGTGAAATGGTTTGACAGTAATGTTTTACCATGTTATTTTAGTGTATTTAGTGAATGTCACTTTGTCATTTTCAAATTTCCCACCGTTCAGTCCCCCCGAACATCCCAACGTTCACAGGGGACGGAACACAGATGACAGATGCTGGCATCCACCGGAGGACATTGCCGGGGACACTGCAGAAGGGATAGCGTGGGAGCGCAGGACAAGGTAGTGAAGAACAGGTCCCAGAGCAGCGCCACATGGTAAGCCCGAGTGCAGCTCAGGGTTACCACTTTTGGTACTAAAACTGTACCCCGAGCTACACTCGGGAATACCGCCAGGGAGGTTAAAGTACTCAAACTGTGGCAGTGAACCTGCAGATCATCCCTACCAGTGAGTGACAGGAGTAATTTCTACATTGAGAACGATCAAAAAAAAAAAAAAAGACAGGTTTTATTTTTCTCTTCTGTGTTTACAACCACTTTAATAAAAGACTTTACCCTGTATGGGCAAGGACAGTGTCCCTTTTGATACATACTAAAACACAAAAAGTTATTCCTAACTGTAAACTGACCCTTATGCCTGGTTTCATGTTTTGAACATGAAACATTGGTATGCTACTACTATATGTACTTGCCTATACAAAGAAAACCCTCTGTCTGCTGGTCCTATATGTTATGTTACACTAAAACTCGGTAAAATGCACTGAATGTCCACTAAATGCATACTGATGCAGGCTGCATTTTCCATAGCCTTTCGGCAAAGATATGAATGGTCCAGAAAAACACCAACAAGCATTTTCTTTGAAACTACCCAATGGTCTCATTAGTAATTTAAACTTGGAACCATTAATAACCAAATCTGTTGTACTGTATGTAGAATTGTAGGAGGCATGAAAAATTCAAGCACCAGTGCCCCTTTTATACTAGAGACTATAACAACAAAAGCAAAAATGTAGGGTTTGGATATAAAGCATCAAAGGATAAGTTCACGTTGCACCTGTTTTTAGGATGCAACATGTTCCCATAGCCCCAGCCATGCCCGCCCCCCTTCAGTGTGGGCACCCAGCTATGACAGCTTGCGGCTTCGCAGCCAAGTGCCCACTGCACGAGTAGCGCTACATTTTCTGAATGGCTGCGTAGTCTTCTGCAACCTGTGACATGTTCCAGAAGACTACGCAGAGGGAGGAAAGGAGAACAACTTCAATTGCCTAGGCAATTGCAGTGGGAACCTGTCAATTTCAGGTACCCATTCCCCAAAAGGTACCAATCCTTAATGGGAGGGGGGGGAACTAGTCTTTAAAGCAGGGACTAATCTTTAAAGCAGAACTTCCCCTTTTAGGTGGAGCTCCACTTTAATAAAGTGATACAAGTTTGAGGGGTTAGTTCCCTTTTTCAATAAAAATTTGCCATGCAGTCTAGGGGCCCAAGAGTGTTAAAAAAAACTATGCAAGTTTGAAATATTGTGTTGAGTTAGTGTCTATACACACTGGGCCTTAAATTCTCATATAGATGTTTAGTACATAAGTTATGCCTCAAAAATGTACAAAGGTGCATTGACACATAGGATAACACTGATCTGCTTCTACAGGCAAGACTTAAAACTCTCGTAGAAGCAGCAATTTAAGCTAGTGTGCATGTACCCTATAAAAAGCCATTTCTGTCTTACAGGAAGCCTGGCCTGAAGGAATCTTCAGTTTATTGCACACAAGTATATGAAAATGTGCATTCAGCGAGGAAATAAAGAGTATTTATGGTAGGTGAGCCAACTTCATTTGAACGCTGATTTAGACGATTTAAAGTTAGGAAATTTTCCATTTCCACAGTCCAGTTTCAGATTCAACATTTTATTTTCACTGTTAAAATTAAAAGAGGAAGAAGATTCTGCTCCAAAAACCTATTGACATATTAGACATTTAGCACCATATTGTCAATAATTCCCTGCATACAGACTAATGTTTTTTTTCTGCCTTTAAATGTGCCCAATGTGGGCTATGCAATTACAGGTAGAATATGTTGCCAGCTAGACACAACAGCGTCACCAGTTACCACAAGCGCTTGTGTAGATGGTAGTTTCCTGCACTCTGGTCCAGTCATGATCTCTGCCGTGGTCAGTTTCAGGAGGACAATCGCCCACAGCAGCTGAAATGCCCAAGTGGTGACATCACCTATAGGCTTACTATGTGGCATCCATTGTCAGCTGTACCTTCTCTGCCCTGAAGCCCCTGCTGGGAGTCAATCACATGACCATGCCAGAGAGCCCCTAGATTAGGCAAGTATAAGGATCTGTCACAGGGAATGCAGACTAGGAGTTAGAAGGGATTGGGAGAAGGTTTAGGTTTTGAAATGTCACTTTAAAAGTAAAAAAAAAAAAACCCACACACCTTACTCTTCCTACACCACCACCCCACCCTGATTTTACTGTTGTCTGTGTCCCTGTTAGGAATATAACAATGCAGTTGAACCAATAGTTTTGACTGCCTGTCTGAAAAAGGGCCACAGTAAAGGCAAGTGTCAAAAGGCTTTTGTTTACACCGCTTCTCTCCTCACCAAACTGAGATTATAAAAGCAGGTTAAGGGCCTGTATCCATAGAATTTAGGCTTGTATTAAAAGACAGTTTGATTTTTGAGAACATTTACAATTAAAATGACAAGTGCATTTTACAACTTTCTGACCTGCTTCAATCAGGTGTAGCATTCTCCTAGACTGGTATGGGAATACAAAACCTGATTTGACGCAAACAAAGTCCTAATTATTACAAAAGAAATTTGCTGTCCAAAACCAGCTTATTGACAGTCCAATTCCCTTTGACAGAGGTCCCAGTGATATATTAGACAAACAGGCCATAATTAGGAGTATTTGGTGGGATAATATGCTTAAAAATTGTACTTTGCACAATTACAGTAAAGTTGAATCATAACTCATACAATCCACAAACAACCAGCGTTCACAGCTCATCATGAACATATGTGAATTCTCTGGCAGAAATAAAACCATCACTGTCCTCATCTTCCTTCTCAAATATGCTCTCAACTAAAACTTCATGCTGGGTTTCATTCATGGGACTGCCGTGCTTCTCAAACTCAGTCTTCAAATATGCCTTCACCTGTTGGAAACAATGGGAGGTAGAGAAAGTTAACAAAAAAAAAACCAAACAAAATACAGTGTAACATGTTATGAATAGCCAGGTTGCAGCTTTAGCACCATCCATCAGAAGTGTTTTGCATTGGAATAAATGGAAACACACCAAAATGAAAGCAAATTTAAATGCACATAAAAAGCATTGAAAAAGTACACATCTGCCAATGTCAATTGTGTGTTAATGAGCCGAGCAGTTGATTTGAGAGTTTATCAAATCCACTTGTATACATAATTAAGACAGTTAAGAATATGGTTACCTCTTCTTTAGACAGTCTCCAGTCATCATTTAAATCCATTTCTTGGAATGACTCATGCGATCTTGGTCCATTTCGAATGTCAATAAGATTAATATGAAAGATTAAAGTGCTCTCTGGTGGAATTTTTCCTATTAAAAATAGTGATAACCACAGATTAGTTAAAGGTCAGATAGCTACATTAGGATTATTCACAATGACAGATGGCTGCAAATCTCCTGAAGTTGCAAGAATTTTAAATCTGTGGCTGACAGAACAAGTATTTAAAACTATAGGAGTAGACCTTTGTTCTCACATCACCCCACATCTCCCTGCTGTGTCTAAAAACTTATGCTGACGGAAGGGGGGGGGGCCTCCTTATTGGCTGATGTTGACTGCAAACAGGTTACAGGAGTGCATATCCAAGTGCTCCTGTGACCCACATGAGATGAAGGGCCAATGGAGCTGTGGCCCTACTTCTTAGTAATTAAGTGAATTTTTTTTTTACAAAAGGAAAAAAACAGATGCAGAAGTTTATAAAAATGGTCTACTTCTAAATAGTGGATACAATGCAAACACATGCACTAAATATACAGAACATGAGTTCATATTAATATGGACAAGGACCTAAGAAAACCCATGCAAATTGTTCAGAGCTTACCGGTTTGAGCAAGTGTAGCATTAAAAAGGCAGGGTGACAATCCACATGCATTATTTGCTGGGGGAGTGTGCCGCCGTTTTCCAAAAGGACTATTCATGTAACACCAGAATACACTTTGGATTAAGTATAAGACAAATAGAGGTTAGTGTTAATAGTGCAACAAATTAGCAGTGCTCCTGTAGTAGGTACTAAGGAAAGCCTATTAACTACATGCATGGTACACAAAGCAGAGAGGTTCAAACAATAACATTCACCAGGAAATTAGTGCAACATAAGACTAGCATGTGTAAAAGTGACAAAATAGATCTTTAACATCTGAAAATGAAGAGATGGGTCAAGAAGAGGAGTGGGAAGAGAAGAGCATGCAAAACCCTAAAGAGTTGCATTTAAGTGAAGTAACTCACATCTGTGACAGGACTGTTAGGAGCCTACAAATATTGGCTAGTTAACCACTTCCCGACCGGCCGTTGCATATAAATGGCTGGACGGTGGCAGTGCAGGGTCGGGTGGCCGTTTATAAACAGCCTCCCCGCACCCTGCTTGTGCGCGCTCCCTGGGAGTGCGCAGCACCGCGATCCGGTGCCCGCTGTGTCTTCCGGACACAGTGAAACACCGATCGTCGGACGGGACCTCTGTACGAGGTCCCGATCATGTGATCACTGATTGGCCAATCAGTAATCACATGCAAAGTAGTAAGCAGGATGTCACTTGTGACATCCATGCTTACTACGTGTGAAATCTGTGAATGATCACAGAGGTCACATGGTACAAGCCTATTCACAACAGGCTTGTACCATGTGACAAGCTGTGACCAATCACAGCTCACTCAGTACTTCTCAATGAGTGCAAGAATGCACACAGAGAGAGAGAGAAATTATTGCTTTTACATCCTATATGGGTGTAAAAGCAATGTGTAAAAAAAAAAAAAAACAACAACACACCATCACCCACCACAAGCAGTACAGTGTCACCATGGTGACACTGTACTGCTAGGGTGACAGTATATAAAAATAAATAAAAATGTAAAAAAAAAAAGTTTAAAAATTATAACTTTTGGTTAAACTAATTTGGATTTTTTTTACTAAAAAGATAACGGAATAAATTTTGGCAAAGATTTGTGATGAAATTATTTATTTGCAAAATTTTATAAAAACACCACTTTTCAAAATTTTTGGATATTTACATAGCAAAAAAAATAAAAATCCCAGGAGGTGAATAAATACCACCAAAATAAAGCTTTATCTGTCTCAAAAAAATGGTAAATTCTTTTGGGTACAGTGTTGCATGACCGCACAATTGTCAAAGTGTGATAGCGCTGAAAGCTGAAAATTGCCCTGGTCAGGAAGGGGGTAAAAAATGTGTCCGGTCTGGAAGTGGTTAAGATACTATTGCAAAGAAATGACCATAATTAAAACACAAAAATGTGCCGCACTCCACTATCAAACAACTTAAATAATCTATCACAATCTATTAAGTGTCCATGCATTATCTGTGCCCCCCTCTAATATGTAGAAATGGATTGCTTCTTAGTTCACCTTGCGTAATGTATTCAAACAAATGTGTTCACCTCCACCAGTTGTGCTCCCACCTTATGTATATGGCTAAACCACTAACAAAATGTCATATATAGCATGGGAGGAGGGGCCCCAAAACAGTGCTTTATCCTTACAAAACGTTTTAAAATATGCAGCATTCCACTCACATGCAAAAACATGAATACGTGCCTTTTACCAAATAATTCCTCAAGATTGCCGCTATATTGTTTAGCCTGCTTTCATACACAGCCAGCTGATATATTTCTCTCCTGCTTACTGAGCGTCTTGACATCAAAGCCCCTCCCCTACAGGGTCACGTGGCTTCATCAGGGGGAAGGATTGGATGGCACTCTATATAATGAGCACCGTGCCATCCAATCATTCCCCCCGATGAAGCCATGTGATCTTGAGGAGCTTTGATGTCACGACACTCCTTAAGCAGGAGAGAAAGATATCAGCTGGCTGTGGATGAATGAAGGCTAGACAAGACAGCTGCAATCTTGAAGATTTTGTAAAAAGTGCATATATACATTTTATATGTGAGTGGAATACTGCATATTTTAAAATAAATGTTTCGTAAGGATAAATGCACCATGTTGGTTATCTTTTTTGGCATTACTAGGACAGTGAAGGAGACCCAGACGAAAGCATTACCATCTCACTGCAGTCCAATTAAGGGACACATGCTATACATGACCTTATTTAGCAGTTTGGTCATATACATATGGCGAGAAAAGTGGTGGAGGTGAACATTTATTGGTTTGAATACATTACATGAGGTGAAGAAGCAATCCATTTCTACATAATAGTGGATGGAAGAAAAAAAAAAAAGATGGATTTTGCATGGACATTTAATAGATTATTTAAGTTATTGATAGTGGAGCACAGCACTACATTGTTATTTAAGTAACACATCTGTATGGGTATGGTGTGAGCAATTCACAATTTTATTTATATATCATTGGGAATTTACCCCTCGTACGTTGTTTGTTGTTGTTGTACTGTGCCATGTATTGTCCCCCCCTATTGTACAGCGCTGAGCAAACCCTTTGGCGCTATATAAACTCGTAGTAATAATAATAATAATAATTTGCACTTTGAATAGCAGCTCAAGATTTTTTTCTATATAAAAAAAGGAATGACCATAGCAATTAGATTCTAGCCAACTTCAAAAGAACGCCATAAAATTGCTCGGTAGGATTTTTGCATAGCTCCTGTGCTGCACCATCACCAATTTAACCACTTCAGTCTCTGCAACATACCCATACATAACTTATAGGGTTAAGGCAAGTAAACTGGGATGATGTTGCAACTACAGGCAAAGTGAATGGCACTTTAAATGTGCTACATCCACACTTGTATGCTGCATGAACTGCAAAAAGTGGCTGTATAGTGCTGTAAGTGTGAATGGGGTCTATTTATGGCAGTCCGTTTCCTTCTGGTTCCTGCAGTGTCCATATCAGTTTTCCATCTTAGATTGTATCTCCTTTTTCTTGCCGGCAACTTTCCAGGAGTGTGTGACTGGCATTCCATGGAATGGGTTTGGTGATATACCTGGATCAATTCACTTTATTGTAAATAATAATAGCATCCCAAACAAGCATGTTTTACATGAGCAAAAATACAATGATTAAAAAAAAGGGTCATGGCCTTCTTTGTATTTGGCAGTTATAGCCAGCCCATAGAAAATGTAACGAAAAACAAAAACCACACACACCCAAAAATGTAACAATGTCATGCTACACAAGCATGAATGCAACCGGAGTGTGTTATGCCATTTCCCTGATACCTGAAGTCCACTTTAAAGTTTCCATGTTACCTTCCATCCTCCTTTGGCTGGAGACTTTCTGAAGCACTTACAATTACTGTGACCTGGCATTCCAAGGAATGGGTTGAGTTTATTGATGTGCTCTGATCAGATCATTTAAATAGAACGGCATTTTAACAAACCTTTACTCATTAAGAAGTTTTTCTATCTGCACTATCAAGGGCACAGTTTCTTCCTTGCATGCATTTAAGACTCTTCTTGATATAGAGCTTACAAGGATAATCAGATTTGCCTTGGTAGCAGTGACGTGCAGTACATTTGATGAGCTGACAAAATTGCAACCCATGCTGCCACATCTCCAATTTAAAGTAGTGACATACAACAAAAAGTAGTTTGGGTTTTTTTTTTTTTTTCTAAAGTATCATGCTTCCCTACACACTCCTTTACATCTACCAACAGCTATGTGATGCAAGGCCTGTGAGACTGAATACTAACAAATTCCATAGTTTAGATGCGTCCTCATATTCTAGTAAAATTAAAGTTGATTGTGCAACAAGATTTCATGTGCAAGTTAGAAAAGCATTGACAGATCTGATTGGGTCTAGTGGACTGCAGATTTATTTTGTTCTATGTGGTTTCTAAAAAAAAAAAAAAAAAAAAAAAAAAACCCACACTTAAAATTGTAGTGTCATTGGACAAAAATAACAGAGGCCATTTATCAATATTTGCTGACTGCAACTTTCCCGAAATAAAAATGACTAACCCAACAGGTACATTTTCTTGCAAACAAACAAAAACACCACACAACACACAAAACACCTGTTACCTTTCCCTTCTTTTCCATAAGCCAGTGAAGAAGGTATTACCAGCTTCCGTTTCTCCCCCACACACATATCTTTGAGGCCTTTATCCCATCCTTTGATAGCTTCCTTAATGCCAAGTGTAAACCATACAGGCTGGTTATTGTTGTCTGCATAACTGGAGGAGAACAGATCAGTATCAAATGTCAAGGAAAATAAGCTAAAGTGCTTTAAAAACAAAGATTCCCATAAACATTTTAAAGATCGATAAATAAAAATAAATTGTGTATTTAGGTGGTCCTGAGCTGTGCTGGCATACCTACCAATTACAAAGCCTGCATACTGCCATCAGGAGCAAATCAGGAAGCACCATCTATTAGACATACAGCATTCAACTACTCTAAGGATTTTGGGAATGCCAGAATCAATTTAGAACTGGCATTTCCAGTTTAGGCTAAAGAAAGAGAAAAAAAAAAAAAATAATATATCTCTGCTGCTAAACCTATTGTATTGTGGAGAAAGGGGAGGGGGGAATAAACACCCCAAAATTAGACTTACCGGTAACTCCTTTTCTACAAGTCTTCCAGAACAGCCCCTTGAGACAGAGCTACTCCCTCCGGGACAGGAAACCCTTAGGCCTAGAACCTTAAAAAGACGGGCCTCCCTCTTCAGTTTTACCCAAGAACCACAGGTAGGCACTAAAAAGACAACCATTTAGGCATAGACATACATTACTGTACTATACTCAGGGTGGGACATCCCAGCTGTCCCGGAAGACTTCTAGAAAAGGAGTTACCGGTAAGTCTAACTCTGGCTCTCTCAAATGTCTTCCAGGACAGCCCCTTGATAAGATAATCACGAACTTACCCACTAGGGCGGGGCTACTGCCTGGAGGACTTTGCGCCCAAACGCCTGATCCTCACTAGAAAGCAGAACCAGGCATTAATGCCTCACGAAGATAGAAAAGCTGGACCAAGTGGCCACCTTACAGATTTGTTCTGGAGAGGCACCAGCTCTCTGCCCAGGATGCTGACAAGGATCTGGCTGAGTGTGCATTAACAAATGGTTGTGGAATTTCTAATACATTATACGATTCTGCAATAGCCATCCTAATCCATCTAGCTATAGTGGACTTGGAAGCATTGGAACCCTTCTGCGCTCCTGCAAAAAAAAAAAAAAAACAAAAAACACCTGAATCTACCAAGAAGGTAAAAAGGCTCCTTCTAACATACTTAAATCTTTCCTCCTTGCTTGCGGGAGCAGAACAGAATGTTGGCATATCTTGAGACCTATGAAAAAGGAGAAAGTTTGGGAGGATCCATTTTGAACAATTCTATCATCCAAAAATGACAAAAAAGGGTTCCCTAATGGAAAACGCTCACCCAGTGTGATTGCTACTATTTAGAGTTAAAATGTTTATTGAACCCAAAAAGGGACAAAAAGGACCAAAGCTCTGCTTGACAGGACCACTCCTGGAAAAGGGCAAAAAAATCCAAAAAAAAAAAAAAAAAAAAAAAAAAAAAGGGGGGATCCTGCTGGAGGGGGACCTGAAGGAAAAAACACTAAGGGCCAAGGCCTGCACCTTTAAGTGATAACCAAAAAGACAGGATCTGCCCCATCCTGGAAGAAATCTAACAGTCGGGATATTCGGAGGGCTCCGCCTCTTATCCGACGACCAGGAGTTGAATCTTTTCCAGACCCCAATATAAATAGCTCTGGTTACTGGTTTGTGGAAGTTTAACAAAGTCCTTACTACTCTGTCTGAAAATATCTGAGCTTTCAGGAGTTGTTCAGTAGTCGTGCTGCCAACTTCAAAGTCTTCACCTGAGGTTGCAGCGCAGGAGCCTGAAAGACCAGATCCTCCCTCTCTGGAAGGTCTAGGTTCGGCAGCAGTTAGACCCATTGTCTCTTCAGCCAAAAATGGGGCCACCAGAATGAAGTTTGTCTTTTCCAACAAATTTCTGCAGGAATGCTGGGATCAGGCTCATTAGAAGAAAACGCTTAAGAGATTGAACTCCCACACATTTGCAAAGGCATCTACACCCAAGGCCTGATCCCACGAATTTAGGGAGAAGAACCGGCTGACTTTCACAGTTTTCCTGGGAAGCAAAGAGTTTGGCCCCCGGCATGCCTCATCTCAAAGGGATGGCCACAAACATTCCCTGGTTGAGAGAGCACTCGTTGTGCATGACTGGGGATGCTGACTTAGGAAGTCCACTAGGGAATTCTGCACTCCTATCAGATGGATGGCAGATATCGAACACAAGTTTTGTTCAGCCCAAGACAGTATGCTGTCTGTGATTGCTTGGAGAGAGGGTTCTTGTAACCCCCTATTTGTTGATGTATGCCACTGTAGCCATATTGTCTGAACGGATCTGCAGGTAACGGTCCATTAGATCCACTTGAAAGCCATCCAGAGCTCGCTGGACTGCCAACTCTCTGATGCAAGGATCCCCGAGGACCACAACTCCTGGGCCACTGTCGCCTAGATGGGCTCCCCAGCCAAAGCGGCTGGCATCGTTCGTAATAACCGGATAAGATGTGGTCCATTCCAGACCCTTGGCTAGAGTGTACTGTATTTGCCACCAAAGGGATCTCTTGATCCTGGATGGGAGCCGGACTGCAAGATCCAGAGCAGACCTGTCCCCATTCCAAACCCTCAGAAGAAAAGACTGCAGTGGACGCTGGTGGAATCTTGCCCAGGGGACAGCAGAGAAGCATGATGTCGTGAGACCTACTGCCCTCATGACATCCCTTATTGTAATGGACAAATTGTTCTGTAGCTCTGCCAGCACCTGATCTATCCTGAGAATTTTCTCCTGTGGAAGGAAGATCTTTCCTTCTACCAAGGAAATCTCGTACCCCAGATAGGCAACTCTCTGGGAGGCAGCTAAACATGACTTGTCTCTGTTTATGAGCCACCCCAGACTCTGAAGGAAGTCCTGGGCAAGCCACAGATCCACTGTCAACTGTTGGTGACACCTGGCCACAAAGGAGGAGATTGTCCAGATAGGAAATGATTGTAATATACCTCATTCCTAGGGGAGCCAAAGCCTCCCCAAGCACTTTCATAAAAATTCTCGGTGCTGAGGCCAGACCAAAAAGGTAGAGCCTGACACTGCCAGTGGTGGATCTCTGTACCAATCCTTAACGCTATTCTTCGGTATTTCTGACACGCATGTTGAATGGGGATGTGAAGATACTCATCCCATCAGATCCAGTGTAGCCATGAAACAATTAGGTAAAGGATTTTTTTTTTTTTTTTTTAACAGATTGATTTCATCCTGAAGTGTTTGTATCTTAAAGACTGATTGAAAGAGCACAGGTTTAAGATAAGGCAAAACTTGCCTGAGGGCTTTTTCACTACTAGAACATAGCAATAAAAAATCACATCTCCTTGTAATTTTGGGGAAAGCAGAGTAAGGACCCATTGATCCACCAGGTCTCCAATTAGGCCACACAGAGCCTGTGCCTTCTACCAATCCCTAGGAAGGTTGGTTACCAGATACCTGGCAGGGGGACTGCAGTTGAACTCCAACCTATACCCTTTTTCTATCATGTTCAGAATGTACAGGTTCGAGGAGTTTGAAGCCTACTGAGGGAGAAAGGTCCCCAGTCTTCCTCCCACTGGGACACTTGAGTCATTGAGACTTGGCAGGGCCCTGAGGATTGAATAAGATCCTCCCCTTACCCTGTCCAGTGTTTCTTGGGCTGAACATCTTACTTTGCTGGACCTGCATTTTCTGACGGAAAACCCTTCTGAAGTAAGATCTTTTACTCTGGAAAAGCCCTCTTTATCAGCTGTACACTCTAAGGCCTCCTGGAGACCTGGACCGAAAAGGTTATTGCCTGTAAAGGGTAAGGCACAAGGCCGTAGCTTGGATGTTGAGTCCCCTGCCCAGGTCTTTAACACCCTTCTAGCTGAATTCACCAGGGCAGATGTTCACGCGGCTAGTTTAACTGAATCGGCCGAGACATCCGCGAGGAAACCTACCGCTCTAAACAGCAAAGGACTTTGGTATCTGCTGCCTGAAAGTCCCTGCTGAGATATGAGTAACTGGGTAAACCAGCATTCCAGATTTCTGGCGACACAGGTGGCTGATAAAGCTAATAGAAGTAGAATCCCAGGCCCTCCAGAGCAAGATTTCTCCTCTTATCCATAGGATCCTTTGGGGACCCCATATCTTCAAATGTTAGGTCCGTCTTTTTAGAGACTTTAGATAAGGGGCGTCCAACTTTGTTCCTCAAAAGGAAATCTCTTTTAAAAAAAAAAAAAAAAAAAAAGTGTGTCCATTCAGGGTTTTCCCCACTCCAGCTTAATGGTATCATCCAGGAAACTATGGACTGGAAAGACCCTAGTCTTTTTAGCATGTAGACCCGGATACATGAGGTCATGCTTAGACAGACATATGTCCTCCATCTCTAAGGTTTCATAGATAGCCTTAAGGAGGTCATCTACCTCAAGGGCCAATTTGTACCTGGAACCCCTGGATGAGCATCCTTCTCCATTGTCCTCCTCTGAGTCTGAACCTGCTTGTGAGGAAGCAAGAGACCTAGGATCCTCTACTGGGTCCGCCTTCCTTCTCAATGCCTATGATAGCGCAGTACCTGCAGTATGGGTCCAAGGTCCAATGGGGGCAGTGCCCGCCATTATGTTCCTTGTGGTGTGGTAGCCACAACCACTGCTGGGTCTCCTCAAACACTGCACCAGCTGCCCGAGCACTGTTTCCTGAGCCGCAGTGGAGACCGAAGCCACGAGTCTCCTGGCACCTACCGATGACATCACCGCGACCAGAACTTCCAGTTTAACAGCTTTCAGTGAAGCTGCTCCGCCTCCAGGAACTCTCGGCCGCCCACCAAGTGGTCAGGATGCTGACTCGGCCACTGGCAGTAGTGCTGGACACCCTTGTCGGTCCTCCTCCTCTGAGGACTGGAAGGCAAACAGGAGCACAGCCCCACTCCTCTACTGAAATGGCGGGATCATGCCAGGCAAGGAGGAGGTACTTTGCTAAACAGGAGCCACCAGCACCACCCTTGAGCCAAGTATTTGTGTTTCCTCTGGAAGGATAGGTTACACGTTGTAGGAACTTCCCTAGAACGTGCAACCTGTCCTTCCGGAGGAAACGAATACTGAACAGGGAAGCCTGGAGGTCCGCCTTTTAAGGTTCTGGTCTTACGCGTTTCCTGTCCTGGAGGGGGAGGAGCTCTACGTCTCAAGGGGCTATCCTGGAAGATGTTTCTAAGAAAAAAAAAAAAAAACCCACAATCAATAATCATATTACAGGATTCTAAAAACTACTAAGCTTGTACAGACCCTAACCAGCAAACCACCTCCACTGAGGAAGGACTCACCATAAACACTGAATTGTGTTGGATTTTAGTAGAAATTACTTAATGGAAGCAAGCTTGACTTTACTTCTGGCACTCTTCAACCACAATCACTCATGGCACCTTTTAAGGGCTTAACAGACTGGTCTCTGAGTTCAGCAGCCTCGAACTTGTCCCAACATTTCAGAACAGCTTTCCATGCACCAAATCGTGTAGAGATGCCATCTAAATCCAGTAGTCAATACATGACAAGATAAAATATATACTGGATACATTTTTGTCATGAATTTGAACCAAGCTGTAGCTGAGCGCCACAAACTGAAAAATGCCATTTAAAGTGTTACTAAACCCACACCAGTAAAATCAGTCTGTATATGCAGTAAAGCATGCTTGTTATACTCAATGTGGAACCTAAGGGGTTAATCCTCTGCACTGTGTAAAAATGCTGTTTGATCCTGACTTCTCTGATCCTCCCCTTCTCCCAGTGTCCCGTCCCCCCCTTTTTCTCCTGATAAGGCATGGTGTGGAGTCACTCTGCACATGCTCCATTTGGTGTGTATTTCTAGAGGGTTTTTTTTTTTTTCTTGGAAGAGTGCATATGATGTGCACAGGGCCAAACAGTGGCTTGGCCCCACCCCCTCTTCTCATTGGCTCACTAGCTGTGATTGACAGAGGTGTGAGCCAATGGGGGGGGGGAATCATATTTTTGGTAAACCCAGCAAAAAATTGAGGTCATTAAAAAGGCTCTATTCACATCTTGCATAGTGGGAATGAGTGTTGTGACTTGCATCTTGTTTTTTGATTTACACGCATTCCTGTATGTCACACAAGCAGCCTCTTCACTTCAATGGGCTGCACTATGTGCATTTGTTGCCCAAAAGAAGCTCTTGTTCCATTTTATAAAGCCGTACATACACAACTTCTGGTGCATTCCAGCATGATCTCAGCCCATGCAGGTGAGTGGGAAAAAAAAAAAAAAAAAAAAAAAAAAAAAAAAAAAAAAAAAAAATCACACTGCACCCAGATTGCATTCCTGTGCAATTCATTGTGTCAATTGCCCCTACTATACACACATTTAGCCCCATACAGCACTTAGGTGTGCACAGTTCTCGCCCTGCACACATTGCACCCTACTCTTCCATACAATGCCACACGTCTGTTTATGGACACAGCTGTGTGTGTGGTCCCATTGAATCCTATAGCCACCTACAATACCACACACAACATGCTCGGTCTCCATGTGAATGAGCCATGTGTATGGAGGACTCACGTTGAATGAAAGCGGGTCCCATTGCTCTCCAGGAAGCCCTCAAAGTGCACCAGCAGCATGTCCCCATTCTTAGTCTTCCTCTTGCAGATATATGGCTTCTCTACCACCGCGACCTGAACCTCAGGCTCGGGGATGAGAGCGGCCCCAGCACAAGCCAGCAGAGCTGCAAGCACCATCACCTCCATCATCCAACAGCAGACGTGGCACCCACACTACACAACCACACAGCTCCAGGGCCATTTAACTTTGCAGCGCCCGATCCTATAGGCTAAAGGAGTGGGCGTAAACGTCGCCCGAACGCTCTCTGTGACTGGTCAGTAGGTAAGCCACACCTTCCTGGTTCTAGAATGCGGTTGGCTGAACACCTACACCCGGAAGAAGGATCCGGGCGTGTAGAATCAAGGCAAAAGGTGTTTGTTCTCTGCTGATTGATACGTGAAGGGGCGTTCCGTGACGTCACCAGCCTGTGCTGCCTACTGAGAGCGGCCGCTGGCTGCTATTCACGACGGAGATGCGTTGATCGCAGCGCTGTCTGTCACTGTGTGTGTGTCCCTGTGACCGGGACCGATGCCAGAGTCCGGGGCGTTCGGGGCTCAACCTGTCACTGCCAGCAGCATGGAGGGCATCCTGTACAAGTGGACCAATTATCTGAGTGGTGAGTGCTGTTGTCAGAGCAGGCTGCCAGGGCAAGGCTGTGTCTGGGTACAGGGTGGGGTTGTACACAGTCACTAACTTTGTAGGAGGTTAGATCCGAGGTTTGGACTTTTCATTCCCAACAATGGAGGATTTACGAAAACTGGAGCAGCTGTGCATAGTAACCAATCAGCTTCTAGCTTCAGCTGGTTCAGTTCAGCTTTGAAAAGGAAAGCTGGAAGCTCATTGGTTGTCATGAACAGCTGCTCTAGTTTTAGTATATACCCCACTGTGTGTCTGTCCTTGATTGACACCTACAGACCCAGATCCTCCACCATCACCCACCTCACAGAGGATCATCTCCCTGCCTGTCCTATGATGACCTCCTGTCATTTCATTACATTGTCCTCTTCAATCTGCAGCTACATGACATGTCTCAATGGCAAAAACATTCCAATGTCATTCCTGTGCTATAAGGCAAGCTGGATGGGTTTTGTTGTAGTGTTTATGTGCAGAATAATTCTTATTCACTTCATATTGTTGGCTTGCTGCTTTTTCCAGTGTGCACAGAGCTTGGAGTCGCATATCAGGCATTCCCTGCAAAGGAAATGTGCTTTTGGTGTGGGCAATTTATAATGTACACTGCAGCTGATAAACTCACGTTTAGGAGCTGTTCATCGTTTTTTTCAGCAGCCCCTGAACTCTCCCTAATTTTTTACTATGTGTCCATGTACACATTTTCGTTTACAGGCATTTGAGTTTACAGTCTTTTTTTGAATGCGGAAAACTTGCGTTCAGCAGTCGATTTTATCAGCGTTTCAAACGCAAAATGCTTGTAAACGCAGCAAATCGCTTTTACAAGCGTTTGCGTCTTAATTTTTTTTTAACTCTTCCAGTTCCCAATGCTGTCCAGAGCCTTTTTTCATCATGAAAAATGCATGCAAAGCGTTTTCAGTGTACTCAGATGGACAAAACACTGAACACAGGATGTTCCTACCAAGCTTATCACCAATTCACACCTCAGACCTCTCCCACCCTTGGAAACAAAAGATATGTTAATGACCATTCACAGCTCAAATTCCTCATGAAGACCCCCTTCCAGGTGGCCTTAATGACTCACTCCACCAGACACCTTCCCACCCTTGGAAACAAAAGAAATGTTAATGAGAAACTCAAACCTAAGCTAATTTCAATATATACTGCTGTCTCTGCTTCTACTCTCTGTATTTCTCTGAAACAGTCTGAAATCGTTAATAATTTAGCACTTTTCAGTGCATTCTGGGCATTTGGGAGGTTCTCCTGTGCTTATCTTTAAAAAACGCTTCTAAATGCAAATGCACATTAACTTGTTATGCAAACGCAGCTAAACAGACGTTTTTTAACCTACATTTTCCAGCAGTCAGTTTCCATCGTTCAGAAGTGTCCTGTGTACATGAGGAAGACTGACTACTACTAGGGGGATGCGTGGGGGGAGGGGGGGGGGTGCAATGCTGAGACCAATCAGATTGTAATGGTGGAGATAGACAGACTTTCATGTCCCCCAATCAGTAGATTTGACTAGGGAGGAGCTTGTGTTTCCTTGAGTCAGAACTTAGAAGTCAGCTGTCATCCCTTGTCCAATGAGCTACAGGCAGAAGTTTTGCCCCCTGCACCTGATGTATACAGAGTGCATCTGATGATCTCCTGGACTTCATATAGCCTCATGACGAAAACGCAACTGGATTCCACAATGGGCTTACCCTAGGTTCACACACATGTGCTTTTGCAGAGAAACGCACAATAGTCCATTTAACATGATTTCCTATGGGACATGTTCACATCTGCGCATTTTTAGGAAAGGGTCAGGGACTTTATTGAATGCAAAAAGTTGCATTTTTGGTTCTACAGACTTCAATGGAAATGCTGCAGAAAAGCATGTTTAGAATTTTTGCTGCGATTTTGCCACATGTTTTATGCGTTGTACGTTTTAAATCTGCCTAGCAACAAGAAAAAAATGAATAGAAAAACCTGCAAAATGCATAAAAACCACAGCAAAAAATGCATAAAAACCGCAGGTGCAAAACGCAATGCAGAAACTGCTCAAATGCAACCTGCATAGGTGTGAACCTAGTCTTAAAGATGATCTTTAGTCTTAAAGTGGAACTAAACCCTTCTATTCTTTTCATCCAAGAGACCGTTACATTCCCATCACAAGCCAAGAATGTAACTTTTTTTTTTATTAAAGTAGAACTAAACCCTAAGATTTAACAGTTTCAAAAAACAGTTACATTCCTGGCTTGTGATGGGAATGTAACTGTCTCATTTGCTTGTGTTCTCAATCAAACTGTCAAACCATCCAGTGGCTGGTCTGGGCTGACCTAATCTTGTCCTGAACCTGAAGTAAGGCCCCGTTCACACCTATGCAGTTTGCTTTTTGTCCGTTTTGCAGTGATTTTCGCTGTTTGAATTGCGTTGTTCTACACGCATTTTTGAAACATTTTCACTGTGTTTTTTTTTTTTTTTTGTTAAAGTGGAATTTTTTGTGCTGCTGGGCAGAATAAAAATGCAAAACACAAAATGCGGCAAAAATGCACTACCATGCATTTCAGCAGCTTCTTCATTGAACTCTATTGTAGCAAAAACGCTACTTTTTTCTTTTAAAAAAAGTCTCTGACCCTTTCCAAAAATACAGCAGCTCAAAAATTAGGGATGTGAACATGTTTCATAGGAAACCATGTTAAATTTCTGCAAAAAGCACTAAAAAACACATTGGTGTGAATGGAGCCTAAACCTGACATGAAGTGCAGAACAATTACTGTGACAATTAGCTGTGAAATCTGAGTGTCAATCTGAACCGCACATTTGAGAATCAGCTCTTAAAGTGGAACTAAATCCATCAATTTAACAATTTCAAAAAAACTTTCCATTAACTGTCACATTTGCTTGTGCTCTGACCCAAACTGTCAAACCATAAATTGGCTGGTGTCATAACTGATCACATGTGCAGCACCATGGCAACTGCAAATCATACAGAGGCTAAGATGGCAGCTTCCTTGGCAAAAAAGGATAGGAGGGTTTAGTTCCACTTTAACCAGTTCCCAACCGCACTATAGCCGAAGGATGGCTACAGCGCGGTTGTATGGTTCTGGGACGACATCCATAGATGTCATTTACGCGCCCACAGCGGCAACACCTGGCGCCACCAGTGATCACCTGCCTACGGACACAGCTGATCACGTAATAAACGATTCACGGTGGCCTTTTACCACGTGATCTGCTGTGTCCAATGACACAGCAGATCACCTGGTAAATAGAGTTGCCGGTTATCGGCTGAACTTTCCTCACACTGTCATAGCGTGAGGAAAGTACTGCTGAGAACCCGCAATTGTCAGCAAAGGGATCGGCACTAATCATCAGGGCACTGATGATCAGTGCCCTGCAGTGCCGCCCACCTGTACCCTGCAGTGCCACCTATCAGTGCGGCCCATCAGTGCCACCCATCAGTCCCGCTCATCAGCGCTGCCCACCATTGTCACCCATCAGTGCCGACTATCAGTGCAACATCATGAGTGCCAGCTCATCAGTGCTTCCTATCAATGCCCATCAGTGCTGCCTATCCGTGCCACCTAATCAGTGCCCATCAGTGTTGCCTATCAATGCAGCCTCATCAACGCACATCAGTAAGGAGGAAAATTACCTGTTTGCAAAATTTTATATTAGAAACAAAGAAAAACTAAATTTTCAAATTTTTTGCACTTTTTTTGTTATAGTGCAAAAAGTAAAACACCCAGAGGCAATTAAATACCACTAAAAGAAAGCTTTGTTTGTGTGAAAAAATTGTAAAAATTTCATATGGATACAATGTTGCATGGCCGCACAATTGTCATTCAAAGTGCAACAGCGCCGAAAGCTGAAAATTGGCCTGGGCAGGAAGGGGGTAGAAGTCCCCAGTAGGCAGGTGGTTAAGGAGAAAAAAGCTACACCCCCCCCCCCCCCCAAAAAAAAATAAACCTCCAAAAGTGGGGGAGGGGGGGGGGGAGGAAGTGCTAAAGCAAAAGTCAGGCAATTTTTAAAAAAGCTGCATTGTTAATATATATATCTTAAGTCTTAGCCCGGGTTCACACCGGATCCGAATTTGAAATCGTATGACTTCACTTGAAGTTGCTCGATTTCAAAGTCGCATGTCAGTGCAACTTCAGGTGCGATTTGGAAGACATCTGTGTGACGGCTTATTGCACAGATGTCTATGCAAGTTGCACCTGATCACAAAAGGTAGTGCAGTAACTACTTTCAAAATCAGTGCAACTGCAACTGATTCGGAGTCACACCAATTTGAACTGTTCCATTGCGGACAATAGGGTGCAACTTATCATGCATTTTGAAACTGTCAAATCACAGTAAAAGTTGCACCGGTGTGAACCAGGGCTTAATATTAACAATTTCAGTGAGGCTGGAAGTATAAGGGCTTGTTCACACTTGACTGTTTTACCAACGCTTGCCAAACGCCCCTATAGCGTTTGGCAAGTGGTCCGGCGTTTGCAGAGCATTTTTGTAACGCTCTGCAAATGCCACATGC